GGATTTTGGTCGATCCGACCAAGATCGAGGCGGTAATGAGTTGGGAGGTGCCGAAATCTCCTTCTGAGATCAGGAGTTTTCTAGGGTTGGCCGGCTATTATAGGAGGTTCATCAGAGATTTCTCCAAGATTGTTGTTCCTCTCACCAGATTGACCCGGAAGGTGTGGTGTTCAGCTGGGGCCCAGAGTAGCAGGCCTCGTTTGAGACTCTTCGCCAAAGATTATGCGAAGCCCCCGTGTTAACTCTTCCAGAGGGGATGGAGGACTTCGTGATGTATTGTGACGCATTGATATATGGGTTGGGCGCAGTGTTGATGCAGAGGGGACATGTGATTGTATACGCATCGAGGTAGCTAAAGCCCCATGAGGCAAGATATCCCACTCATGATCTAGAGTTGGGGGCTGTGGTGTTCGCCCTCAAGATTTGGCGCCATTACCTGTATAGGGTTCGGTGTACGATATACACGGATCACAAGAGTTTGAAGTATTTGATGGATCAGCAGAATTTGAACATGCGTCAGTGGAGATGGTTGGATGTGGTAAAGGATTATGATTGCCAGATCTTGTACCACCCGAGCAAGGATAATGTGGTGGCCAACTCCCTGAGTCGTAGAGCAGAGAGCATCCCGATTCGGGATATTTGTATGAGATTGACAGTGATGACTCCGGTATTAGACACCATCAGAGGGGATCGGGCTGAGGCAGTGAGACCGGAGAACCGCAAGAGAGAATGAGTTATCGGGTAGGTGACGGAGTTCGTGACTGATAACAGAGGGCTTATGACCTTCTAGGGTCGGATTTGGGTACCGTTTGATGGAGGAATGCGTACCATCTTGATGGAGGAGGCACATAAATCGAGATTTTCGATCCATCTCGGAGCCACTAAGATGTATTTAGATATGAAGAGAGAGTATTGGTGGCCCTGTATGAAGAGAGATGCCGCGTGGTTTGTTGAGAGGTTCTTGACCTGTTGTAGGGTTAAGGCCGAGCACCAGAGGCCGCATGGTAAGTTGCAGCCATTGGAGGTTCTCGAATGGAAGTGGGAACAGATTACCATGGATTTTATCACCAAATTGCCAGGGACTACTAGGGGAGTCGATGCAATTTGGGTGATTGTGGATAGGTTGACAAAGAGCGCCCACTTCCTTGCTATCAGCAAGAACTCTTCCGCAGAGAAGTTGGCCGAGGTGTACGTGAGGGAGGTGGTATCGCGGCATGGGGTGCCAATCTCGATTGTCTCAGACCGATATGTGCGTTTCACTTCCAGATTCTAGAAGAAATTTCACGAGGAATTGGATACTAGGCTATATTTTAGTACCGCATACCACCCCCAGACTGACGGACAGAGCGAGCGGACGATTCAGACGCTCGAGGATATGCTCCGGGCATGTGTGTTGGATTTCGGTGGGAGTTGGGACACGTATTTTCCCTTGGCGGAGTTTTTCTTGCAACAACAACCATCATTCGAGCATTGACATGCCGCCCTTTGAGCTGTTGTATGGGAGGTGTCGGACCCTATCTGCTGGGGAGAAGTAGGACATCGCATGATGGGTAGGAACGAGATCGTGCTTTAGACGACAGAGCAGATCCAGCAGGTCAGACAGAGGTTGTTGACCGCTCAGAGTCGTCAGAAGAATTATGTGGACAGACGCCGGTCTGAGCTTGAGTTTCAGGTCGGCGACTTTGTGCTACTGAAAGTCTCTCCTTGGAAAGGAGTGATTCGATTCAGGAAGAGGGGCAAGTTAGGGCCCCGATATATTGCTCCCTTCGGGTTGGTTGCGAGGGTAGGCATGGTAGCCTATCGTTTGGAGTTGCCAGCAGAGTTGGGTCAGATTCACGACACTTTCCACGTATCGCAATTACGGAAGTGCGTAGCCGACGAGTCAGCAGTAGTGCCACTAGAGGATATTCAGGTGGATGCGAGCCTGAATTATGCTGAGAGACCAGTGGCGATCAGAGATCAAAAGATTAAGGTACTGAGGAATAAAGAGGTGCCACTGGTGCAAGTCCAGTGGCAGCATCGGAAGGGGTCAGAGTTAACTTGGGAGCCGGAGCGTGAGATGCGTGAACTGCATCCGGAGTTATTTGCAGAGTGAGACTTCGAGTGCGAAGTCTAATTCTAGCGGGGAAGAATTGTAACACCCTGGATTTCCAGGTATTATTTTTATTCTTTTATATTTGGGTGATTGTGAGGGACTCGACGAGTTGGAGTCTAAACTCGCCGAGTAGGATCGCGGTTTTGTGCACGGGTTCGCGTTTCGACTCGGCGAGTCCAAAAGTGGACTCGGCGAGTCCACGCTGTTTAATGAAACCCTAATTTCCAGGGTTTGAGACCTATTTAAAGGGGCTTATGGTCGTCATTTGTGGCCACCAACCCCATAGAGAAACCCTAGAGAGCTTTTGAGTGTTTTGGGAGAGATAAGAGGCCATTGTTGACTTTTGAAGATTGGTTTGGCAAGGCAAGGGAGATTCTAGCTAAGAGGAGGCAAGGGAGGTGGACATCCTTCGGTTTTGGAGCTCAGAGCATCATTTTGGAGGTATATTTTGGCTTACTTTTCTGTTGTTATGATGAACATGGGGGTTTAGGGTTTATTGACCCCTTTGTTGGTTAGATTTGATGTCCATTTCGTCCCTATTTATGATGATGCTTGAGATGGGATCCATAGAGGTCTAGAGAAGCTTTATTCCTTAAGCTTTATGTGGATTCATGGGAGTTTTGACCTAAAGTTATGAGATATGGGGCTAAAACATCATTTAGGAGCAAATAGTTGTTGTTTGAGCACCAAGGTTTGGACTTTACGTGATTATCATGCTTGTGGGGGCCAGATCTATGATTGTATGGAACAGATCTGACCTCAGAAGTGAGTTTGAGTTTATGCATGGCATGGACTCGCTGAGTCCGAAGAATAGACTCGACGAGTAGCATGAAGTTTGCCCGTAACCACTCAACGAGTGGTCTTGTCGAGTTGAGGGGTCGACTCAGTGAGTCAGGGAGAGTCAGGGGGACTGAGTTATGCCGGAACTCACCGAGTTGTTCTTGAGACTCGGCGAGTTGAGTCGTGGTGGCCCCGCGATTTATGCCAGGTGAAACTCGTCAAGTCAGAGAAGCACTCGGCGTGTCAAGAGAGGATCCAAGGGAGTCAGTGGACACGTATAGACTTGTTGAGTCGCCCTAGTGCACTCGCCGAGTCCGGTTAAAGTTGACCGTTAACCTTGTTGACCTTTAGGGTTGAGTTCAGTTGTATTTATGAGTGTATTACTTTGTGTGATTAGGCGGAGGCTAGATCACATTTATTTTGAGATAGATATTTACCGAGATACGCGAGGTGAGTCTTCTCACTATACTTTACCTTGAGTAGGTAAATAGAGTTATGTGATACAGTGTTTTATATATATTATTGTTGCACTGCATTCTTCTATGTGATTTATGTTGTGCATGCTTGCGGAGTTAGAACCTGAGGGTTCACAGAGTTTGGGTGCACGGACCCACAGAGTTATAGCCTCGAGTGGCTAATATGTGTTATATGTTGTATTTTGGGGAACTCACTAAGCTTTGTGCTTACAGTGTTTTGTGTTATGTGTTTCAGGTGCTAGTGAGGATCGCGGGAAGGCACCAACTTGATCAGTACACACACGGGATTTTTATGCTATGAGATCTTGGGATTGATATATGTTATGAATTGAGTTTCAAACAATGATGTTTTTATGATAAATAAATGAATTATGTTTTTATAAAATTCGAAAAAAGTTGTTTTGGAAATTTATGGTGTTACAAAATCGACCTTGATCCAAACCCTTTTAACACATTTCAAATTTCGATCCAAATCCGCTTCATAACCCGCATGGTTTTGAATAATCAAATCCATGCACTTATCCGCCGAATAAACAGATATCTAAACCCGCACCGTAACCCGTAAGTTTTTTGAATAATCAAACACATTTTACTTAAACCTCAAAATAACATTTATTAAATAAAACATGTTGATTTAAATAACACATTAGGTAATCAAAGACTTTCGAATGGAATTACAATCATTTTCATAGTAACTTCTGATTGGTTTTTGACCATCGATTGCATTGATAGAGAATAACAATTTCAAACTTTTTTCCGATCAATAAATATATGACTTCTTGGTTGATGAAATATTGAAAGTTTAGAAGTCGAGTCCTCGATTCCTATGTAAAAACAATTTAGTCTTTGATCTTTCCCTTTTTGAATTTTAATTAGAATTAAAAGTAAACTTTAGGTTTTATAAAATATAAATTTATAATTCTAAAATTTATACAGAGCGGGTTATAAACGAAGCGGGTACAGGTCGTTAACGGGTAAACAGATCAAAAACTATGCTCCAAACCCATATAATTATTAACAGGTTTGGATCGGATCAGGATCAAAACCCGCTCTATTGTCAGGCCTAATGTTTAGTCATTATAAAATATTAATAAATTGTTTCAACAAGAAAAAAGATATTAACCAGCCGGAAGTTAGATTACAAATAGTTGACCGTTTTCAATTCACTTTTGTAAGTTACCGAATCTAATATAAAGAAAAATTTCATCGAAAAATATTCCTTTGGCTAATTTGAGAAGTAATTTTCACGAGGTTAGGATGATTTGTTGTCAGAAATTTAAAAGATGATCATCTGCGAATATGATCCTTTATAGTTTATATACAATCGTTTTAATGGCTAGAACATCTATAGTAGAAGATCATTACTAGGTCATAAATTTGGTAAACTCTAAAAACTATTTCGTTTTTCCTTTTTCAAAGCTGTTTTTGGGTTATTTCATTCTTTTACTTTAGTAGCTACATAAAAAAAAATCTATCGATAGTTCTTATAAAAAGAATTTATAAAAAAGTTCATTCATAGCAAATTATGTTAAGAATATTAATTTATGAATGAGGCAACAAGAAAGTAATTGGAAAAACTCTTTTGCTTTTAGCTTTAAAAAATCTTGATCGGCAAATCGCATTGTTTTAAAAATTAAATAGTTGATGACGTAAGAGTTAATAAATCCGGATTTGTACTACCACCATACAAACCCTCGCCCCATTTCTCCCCTCTCCCAATCTCGCTCTGTGCCAGTGTCTACCGAAGCTTTTCGATTTCGAAACCCTAACAACGAATCTCTCTCTCGAGCTTCCGTTCGTTTCAATCTCCTTCTTAATTTTATTCTCCTTCTCATCCGTCAATCTCCAAACGGATCCTCTCTCATTGACCGTTCGATGGCTGAAGGCAAGCTTGATCTTCCCGACGATCTTCTCTCCTCCAAACACTCTGATCATTCTTGGACCTCTAAAGGTAATCTCTTATCGCCCGGCCTTTTCCGAATCTTCCGTAGTTAATGGATGCGAATTCTTTGGGTTCACGTTAAGATAGGGTTTATTTGATCTGTACGTAATGGGATTTTTGATGCTACTGCAATTTGACTGCATCTACATTGTTTATCTCTTTGAATCAAGGATTTTCAGATTATAACTTATATATGCTTACTTAATCTACAGTTGGTCACAATATGCATTTTTTTTCTTCAAAATTGTTGAAAAGCGAATCCAGATTTGCAAATTTTCTGATGTGAAAGTTATTTCAGTTCGGGTTTATTTGATTGCATCTATAATTGAGTAGTTGGTAGTATGTGTGATCATATCATAGCTGAATTTCATTTCCAGCAAATGTACCCACACGTGTAGAATGAATCTTCTATTTGATCACAGATATTCGTGATATTGGAAGATGATTTGAGTTTCGGCCTATATGACAGCTTTATGTTTTTTTTTTCTTTTAAATTGTGGGCGCAGGCCTTTTAGATCTCTTCATTTCTAAGTGTGATATCAGAAAGTTAAAGTTCTTCTACACTGCCAAATGTTATAGATAGAACACTTCATTTTGCTGTCTGCCTCCATTTGTTTCATTTGTTTGTATAGTAAAACACAGTAATACATCTTGCTTGATTTAGCGATATGCTCGTTTTAACAGACATGGTTGGGTACTCGGAGAGATTTTTGTCATTTTATTTGGTAGATTGCAATACAACAGTCCAAGCTCGCTGTGTTGGTTTGGTAGAAGAGTTTGAGTTTCTTGTTTTATAAAAGTGAAGGAAACAGAAGGCTTAGAGTTTGATATAAGGATGCTGTACAACTGTTGTTATTTAGGACAAAACAAGGCAACACTGTTTTTCTGAAATTTATGCAACTCTAAAATTTTCATATTTAGATAAGTTTATATGCTTTTCTTTCAACAGTAACTTGTATTGTATTAGAATACTCTTTAAAAGTATGATAGAGATATGCCATGTGGCGTTAAATGTTTTTGTTTACTCTTGCCTTGGCAAATTTGTTCCCCTTATTATTCTTATCTTTAACATGCAATTGTGTCATGACAGTGGAATTTTCTGGAGGGAATGGTGAAGATAAGATGACCGGTTATGATTCCAAAGGTAGCTTTTATCCATAGATTGTGGTCTGTAGTATTTGGTCAATAAGTAAACAACTTGGGGAGTGTTTTCTTTGGGTTACTAACTTCCCCCAAGTCTTTTTCTTGATTTCACATTTTTTGCTTTTTGTTTGTTCATATAAAGATCAAGCAGCGTTGGACAACAGCATCCCCTTGTCTCCTCAGTGGCTCTATTCTAAACCAGGCGAAAGTAAGATGGTGAGTGTTTTTAGTCGATTAAACATTACTTGTAGATATATTTATGGACATGAGATCAATGATATACACTCCGCATGAATAGTCTCTCAATTTCTTTTTTCATGCTTTTTTATATTGTCATTAGCAGCTCCCTTGATATTCATTTTAGTTAATATACAACAAACGCTATTAAGTATTTGTCTCTACCATGGTACCACTGCTGTGTTTTGCCATACTAAATCTATCTACAAATAGAAAAAACTGATCTCGTCGGTTGTTATGATTACAGGAAATGCGGGCACCAAGTTCTCTCTCCCTTGGGAGTTCTGCTGATTTGGGTTTGAAGGAGGCTTGGCGTGCGGAAGGATCCGATGACAAGAAAGATTGGAGGAAGTCTGGAAGTGAGACAGAAAGCGGGAGGCGCTGGCGTGAAGAAGAAAGAGAAACAGGATTACTTGGCAGCAGAAGAGAGCGCAGGAAAACCGATCGCCGTGCTGATGTGGCGCCCGACAACAGAGCTCCTTCCTCTGACAAGTGGCTTGATGTGGGTAACCGTAATTCTGGGAACGAGGCAAGGCGTGATAGCAAATGGTCATCCAGATGGGGCCCAGATGAAAAAGAAAAGGAGAAGAGGACAGCAGATGCAGAGAAGGAAGATGAGTCTCACTCTCAAGGAAATGCAGGCAGAGTGGTCTCTGAGCGTGATCCTATTCCCGAATCACGTGATAAATGGAGGCCACGACATAGAATAATGGAGGCAAGTTCTGGTGCCTTTCGGGCTGCACCTGGATTTGGGGTTGAGAAAGGAAGGGTCGAGGGATCAAACTCAAACTCAAACTCAAACCCAAACATGGGGTTTACTGTTGGACGTGGAAGATCTAGTGCTACTGTTGCTGTAAGGCCTTCATCTCCAGGTTCCATCGAGGGTGTGCCTGGAAAGCCTCCTGGGGTTGGGGATATGTTTTTCTACCCAAGGGGAAAGCTTCTTGATATATACCGCACACAGAGACTCGACCCTTCTTTTGGTAACATGCCTGAAAAGATTCAGGAAGTACCTTCTATCACTCAAGTAGCTGCACTGGAACCTCTTGCTTTTGTTGCTCCTGATGCAGAAGAGGAGGTAATGTCCTTTTTTTTTTTTTCATCAGTAAAGTTTTTATGTATTTCTATCTTGCTAACTTGATAAGCACATGCAATGTCCTTAGGCCATCCTTGGTGATATATCCAAGGGAAAACTCACTGGTAGTGAGTTGGTGGCCAATAGATCGAGAATTATCGGGTCATCTGAGAACATTACAGGTAAGGGAGCATTGGAGCTGATGGATATGGAAATGTTTTTTCCTTTTTTTTTGTATCTAAGATTATTATCCTTTATCAGATGTCTTGGATTTAACATCCACCAATGGGAAAGATTGCGATGATATGATTGACCCAAGTCAAAATACTTCACTCTTTGATAGCCAAAGATCAACAACAAAAGAGGGTGAGTACTGACCAACTATGATCCATGAACTCTAGTATTCTACTGCTTATCAGTAATCAGTTATGACAACATACATTGTTTAACAACAAAACATTTCAGGTCGAGATGCTAATCAGGATCGAGAGCAAGGAGTCCCTCAGATGGAATCATATGAACTGCAAAACACCAGTATTGTTGACCGTGGTCAAGATAAAGCTTCTAATTTTAACGGTCCAGATTTGGGTTCTATGGGGCATCATCCGATGGATAACTTCCAGCCATCTTCGTTTGATATCAATTCAAATCTTGTTAATGATTCAAACTCTGTATTTGTTGATCCATCTTCTGAGCAATATTGGGCAAGAAATATGCAGGATAATACAAGCGAACAGTTAACAAGTGGCATCATGCCTGAGGAGTTGAGTCTTTACTATCGTGATCCTCAAGGGGAGATCCAGGGACCATTTCTTGGGGTAGACATCATCTCATGGTTTGAGCAAGGATTTTTCGGGGCAGATCTACCAGTTCGAGTGGCAGATGCACCAGATGAAGCTCCTTTCATGGAATTAGGTCATGTTATGCCACACTTGATTCCCAGGCATGATTACACCACCAGCAATGATCCAAGTCCCAACTTGGACAAGTCGTCTGATGGTTTCCAAGGGAACCTTGATGCTAATGTCGTCTCTGTACCTGCTCCTGTTTCTGAAATGGGCTTTTTGTCTGCATCAGATAATCAAGCCAGAATGCCTGAGCATTTTTACTCAGAGGGTCAAAGCTTTCGTGAAGAAGGTTGGTTAAATACTCTTTCCTAAAGCCTTTCTTTCATTCTATAAAACGTAAACGTCCTAATGTTGTTTCCCTGTTGCAGAAATTGTTTTCCCAGGAAGACCAGGCAGCAGTGACTCTGCAGTAAATTTTATGAACAACCACACCGTTCCTGTGCCAACTGATAATAAAATGCATCCGTTTGGATTGCTATGGTCTGAGTTAGAAGGATCAAGTTTAAGGAACGATCCGCAATCTAGGACATCTTTGTCTGGTGGTATCCAGCAGCAATTTGTGAATTCACCAAGTCAGAGATCATCTCATTTCAACACAATCCCCGATGCTGAGGAATGGTCTGATATCTATAGAAGAAATGCCATGGATCAAGAGACCACTGAGTTTGATTTATCAGAGAAACTCAGGTCTCACCAAATTCAACAACAGTTGCTCCAACAGCATAATATGCTCAATTCTCATCATCAGTTGAATGAATCAATGCTGGATCATGTTCAAGTTCGACCTCCTATAAACCTAAAACAGTTTTCAGGGCAAGGAGTGGATCACCTGGTGGCACTGCAGTTGCAGCAGCAGCAGCAGAGGCGGATTGAGCTTCACCAGCAGCAACAATTGCAATTACAGCAGTTGAATCAACAGCAAATGCTGCTCAAGGAACAGCAATCACGACAGTTGCTTCTTGAACAATTGGCCCAAAATCAGATGCGTGCAGCGCAAGCACAGGCACAATCACGTGTGGATGCTGCAAGATCAAATAATGCACTTGATCAGATTCTTCTCAAACATCAGATCTTGAATGAACTTCACCAGCGTTCACAACATGTGGATCCATCATCAATAGAGCATCTGATTCAAGCAAAGTATGGTCGTCAAGGTCAAGGTCAGGGGCAAGGGCATCCAAACGAGCTGTTGGAGCTCATTGCACATGCGAAGCACGGCCAGATGGAACATCACATGCTTCAGCAGGAGCAGTTTCAGGGAAGGCAGCAGCTGCCTTTGCCTTTGGGTTTGGGTTTAAGGCAGAGGATGGAGATGGAGGAAGAGAGGCGTCTTGGTTCTGTCTGGCCTGGGCCTGTTGATGAAACCACTCAGTTTCTAAGAAGTGCTGGTGGGCTTCACCGAGTCAACTCCAGTGGCCTCAGTCCTTTAGATGTTTATCAGCAACAACAGAGGCTATCTCCAGATGAGTTGAGTCATCTTTCAATGCAAGAGAGACTTCAGCAGCGCTCGTTGCGTATGCCAGGTGGTGGTCCTGCAATGAACCTTGATGTTAATTCCATGGGTCGAGTTAATCAGAATATGCAGGAGTTCAATTCTCCGCTGCACCACGGTGGTGCTGCTAATCAGCATCCGTTAGCCTCAAACCGCTTCCATCCCTCTCAAATGGGTGCGGAGGGACACATGGCAAATGAGTGGATTCAGCAGCTGCATATTGATAATGAAAGGCAGAAGGAAGTGAGAAGGATTTCTGAAGATCCGAGTGTGTGGATGTCTGCTGGAAGCAATGATGATCCTTCAAAGAGGTTGCTTATGGAACTGCTTCAGCAGAGTCAGAACCCCCCAACAGAGAATCGGTCTAGTAGTGAAGAGGCATTAGCATTGGATGTGAGTAATAATAATAATAATAGTAGTAGGGAAAGGGCATTTGAGGGGATTGGTGTTGGTTATGGATTTAACTCGGTGAACAGACCACAGGGACGGTTGGTGGGTTTGGGTGAGGAGACAATAGTTGGGGAGGGTAGAGTGCATACTAGACCTGGAGCAGTACCATTCTTTTCTGAGACTCAGGAAGCAGTCTATACAAATTCCAACATGCAGGGAAACAGAAAAGTACCTAAAAGTGACATGATGATGCGTGTAGCCGCAGAAACTCAACAAGGTGGTGTTGCTGGGGAAATGCCAAATAATTTTGGTAAATTTTAATCTGTGTGATGATGGTATTTATTTTCTATGTACATAAATATATCTGTGTTGTGATATTAGCAGGTGGGAATAAAAGCTTGTACAATGAGTCTTTGGCAGCAGGAGGAGGAGAGGGTCAAGACAGGTAATGTCATTCGTTAATCCTGAAACAGATAATTGATATGTTTTGGTTTCTTATGTTGAGGGTTTGCTGCATGCAGGGGGTCGAAAAGGTGTAGTAGTAGTAGTAGTGATAATATAAATATATTGGTGAGACGTCCTTCATCATCATCATCTCATGAAGGGGGGTTATGTGAGGTGGATTCAACTTTCAGAGAAAGAGAAACTAGGGAGAACATGATGATGATGGTAGGTGGTGGTGGGTTTAGGCGGACATCATCATTGAGTGATGCATCAGTGGCAGTATCAGAGACAGCATCTTTTAGCGACATGCTTAGAAGCAATAGTAATAATAATAATGATAATAATCATCATCATCTTATCAGGAAGCCACCCTCACCAGATCCAGAGGGTGCAGCAGCAGAGGGACATAATAGCAAAACTGGTGGTGGTGGTGGGAAAAAGAAAGGCAAAAAGGGGAGGCAGATCGACCCGGCTCTGCTTGGGTTTAAGGTTACCAGCAATCGTATTATGATGGGAGAGATCCAACGCATTCAAGATTGAACCCCTCCTTTCCCCAAGTTTTGTTTTTTTATTTTTATTTATTCTTTCTATATGTATATGTATATGCATTGTATGTATGTATGTAGAGAGTATTGGTTGGTTTGGTTGCATAGAGTAACTGCATCTGTATGTACTATAGGGTTTTTTCTTTTTATGAAGTGTAGCATTCAGTCGGTCAACATTACAAAGTGCCAAGCTGATTTGCAATTCAAGTGCTGCTTGCTTTGGAAATAACGTAAAAATTGTTTCGGACTTATCATATAATCTTATACTTTTTAGTTCTACTCTTTTTACAGGTGATAAAAAGCTAAAAAGAGCGGATAAAACTAGGTAATACCTGAATGCAAATTGTGGGGTAAAAGTTCAAATCTGAACCAGTTTTCTTGTCAATATCCCATAAAGTAATGTAATGCTATACAAATACCAAGGCTATCTTAATAATATTCAAAAATGAATTTATATTTGTTTACTCATATCATATTCTAACGGACTGTATTTATTTTAAGATCCGGATCTTGAAGTGAAAAACCACCATATTATGATAGGTTCTGTCTAAAGCAAGATTTAAACCCGGCCGTACCTTCTATGTTTTTCCCCAAACGGCCATTTTAGACTTGTCCTAGAAAATCCTGGTAACCGCAGTTTGAAAGTCTAATATCAAACTAGCATTTTGATAGCCAAAATTTGGCTTTACACCCTGAGTCTTTCTTTTCTGTTTTTTAGTAAAAAAAGAGGCCTCCGGTAAGGATATATATATATATATATATATATATATATATATATATATATATATATATATATATATATATATATATATATATATATATATATATATATATATATATTTTAAATTACGATAAAGATCTAAAGATCTTAACCCAATCTAGCTCACATCTTTAGTCTTTTTATACAAGACTAGTCTCAAATTTAGGGATGTCAACGGGGGCAAACGGGACGGGGATTGCATTCCCCGCCACCACCCCCGAAATTTTCCTGTTCCCCCACCCGCTCCCGAAATCTCTAGCATCCCAATCCCCGCCCCCGCCCCCGCCCCCGAATCCCAGGATTACTCCCGCCCCCGCCCCCGTTTGGGTTGACTTTTTTTTTGGCAAACGAAGGTATTGTTTAGGCTAAAAGAAGTTATTTTTTGAGCTAAAAGAAACTATTTTGGATAAAAATAGTTATTTATAGCATAAGTTTATATATTTAAAATAAAAATATTGTAACATCTTAAAAACGTTATACTATAAACTTAAAAACATGATATTTAATTGAATTTTGGAAGTTTAATATCATTGTTATTATTTATTATATTTTTATAATTAATATATATTAATATAAATATTATATTAACGGGGTCCCCACTGGGGGTTCGGGATGGGACTACCCACCCCCGCCCCCGCCCCCGAAACTAAAACGGGTGTTAACATTGCCCCCGCCCCCATCCCCGATTTTTTAAAACAAATATTACTCATTCGGGATCGGGGCCCCACGGGTTCAGGGTCCCACGAGACTTTTTGACATCCCTACTCAAATTATTAATCAATTCAGCTTGAATTTGAGCATTACATGTAAGTCTAAAGTATATCATTTCATCCTTTCATCTCGAATAAAACATATTACATGTTGCTAGAAGTCTAGAGTATCATCATTTCATCCTTTCATCTTGAATTAAACATAGTGTCATGATATTCATGGTATTCTTTTTAAGATCTTATGCCTTTAGTTTTACATGGTCACGATGACCTTGTTAATTTTTCTACAAATATATGTTCTTTCTAATGTTTGCAATTTTCAGCAACAAGATGTTTTAATCAAGACAAAACTGTAAGATTGATCCTCATAGTATTCAAAAAACTTTGGATAGGATCCAAAAAGTTTCTCATTTGTATAGAAGGTCCAAAATCAATGTTTTTCTGTGTTTTTAGTCCAAAAAAACTTGAAAATGCGGTTATACCTTTTTAATATATATATATATATATATATATATATATATATATATATATATATATATATATATATATATACTATCTTATAAAAGCAATCTAACTATTTCTAAAAATAGATTGATTATAATAATAATATTTTTTTAAGACGTTCAAATGATGAAACTGATAGTACAAATAACCATTAATAAAATAATATTAAATTTTAACCACATTCAAAAATTTTATCATCAAATCTCCTTATATTTCTCAGCAATTTGATATGGTTCCCTCAAATCCCGGATTCATTCAAATTTTGAACCCTTTTAAATATCCTTAAATTTAGCATGTTAATTCAAATATCTCTCCAATTGCATATACCTCTTTGTTCCCTCCTCTGCTATAAAGTCCAACGTCCAGGAACAAAAAATGACTTCATCTCCCAAATAACACCATAGTTTGATTATTTTGTCTTCGATATGTACTTTCTTTTGTAACATAACATTTTTGTAGAGGAAACATATCACCGAAAGAATTTACACGTCCCGCCGCTTTGCGCGGGTACACTGCTATTATATATATATATATATATATATATATATATATATATATATATAAAGAAAAGAAAATAATTATCCTCTCTCTCTCTCTCTCACACACACACAACTGCAAATTAAACATTTCTCTCACAAAACACCCACTCCACCCCTCTACTCTCCATCATGCTCTTTGACTTTGTTTATATTTCTCCATTCTTCTTCTTCGTTCTTATGCATCTACAAATAAGATTGAAGAAAAACTCGGTTGCAAATTGACCCCGTTTCGATTTCCCCCAAATCCATATAGACTCATTGATGGTCCTCTATTCAACGAAATTAGGTAGGGCATCGGCGGAACGAGAAGAATAACGATCACTTTTCACGTTGTTCGACTCCCGCCTAGAATCGATCGTCTTAGCATCGATGTGGCCTAAAATGAACTCTTCTTTCGTCAGATCTGAGAACTTGTGGGTAACCCGATTTTTGCTTCCTTCCCTCCGACCTTTCTCCTTCTATCTTCCAAATCCAGATGGGGTTTTCATATAACAACTAAAGTGTTTTTTTTGCTTCAGATTATCACTACCTCTATTGCCCCCCAAAAAAATACATCGACTATTAGGATTCCTGTATTATCTTCCTCCCTCGTCTATTAGACGTCGCACGTAAGGAATGAACTAAACAATCGAGCCTCTTGATTGATCGAACATGAAAACAATAATAACGAGGTGGGGAATCGGGCTTACAAAGGTCGCAAGGGGTGACGAGGTTGATTGGAGATGTAATCGACGTAAGCAACAACTAACGATGACGGTGGTTCACAATAATGATGACGTGGTGGTAATGGCTACTCGATGGTTTCTGTTACTTCGTTTCCGATGAGCTCGACGAGAGGGAGGGCAGAAAGAGGATGGTGGTGACCAGAAATCGCCAAAATAAGGTGGTGGGGGCTGTTGCTCGGTAATCCAAGGAAGAAGGGGTGGAGTTGGGTGGTTCCCGGTGGCACAACCCCAAGAATGACAGCGAGGCTGTGGTGATGGTGTTTATGAGTGCTTGGGTGATGTTTAATTAATCTAAGTAGTGGGGTATATAAGGTGGAGTTTGTGGTGAATGGGTTCAAAAGGAAGAAACAAGATTTTTACATGTTCGTGTATATTACCATTTGATCAGAAAAAATATTGGCATTTTTCTTCATTTACCCTGTTGACTTTCATATTGAGAGAGAGAGAGAGTGTGTGTGTGTGACATCCCCAAAATCTCGGCCAGAAAAGACCGATTTTCATTTATGCTTTTAATATAATTTCAGAGTAAATCCTTTTGATTTGAAAGAGTTGCGGAATTTGTTCCCAAAAAACAAAACATGATAAAACAATGTTTACCAAATCATTTCATAAAAGAAATGTATTTTCATTATATAATCAAAACTCGGGGTGTCATGTTCCGATACAGACCAATAAGCATAAACGATAACATTACAAGTCATTCAACAAATATATACATATACAGACTTGTAAACAAAACAACTTGATGGTTCATCCATCTTACGCCCTTGCGCCACTTCCTGTAATACAAATAAAACTGAGTGGGTCAGGCTTGGGAGCCTGGTGAGCATATAGGGTTTTCAACCCACAATAAATAATTAAACTAATTATTATCAACCAACAATAACCCAATTACCCATTCCCGTTATTCTCACTTTATGTCCCTAAAATAACTAACACAAGGGACCTAGTCTAAGAATATTTCATCGGGGTGACAACACATGCTTCGGGGGTTCCTCAGCAATATAAGTCAAATAAGGCAACCATGAGGGGGTGGAATACAACGAATGAACACCCAAATTCATTAACACCTACAGGTTATGAGCCTGCTAGCGTTCCACTGGACTGTCTAGAAAAGTCCATGGTCGTCATCTAAATTTCGCTAGATGACTGGATCAAAACAACATCGAGGCCTCTCATATGTTTATTACACACCAACTATCTACCCATGTTCTACCCAACATATTAGTAGATAAAACATACACTTTTATAGATAGTTTCAAAACATGTATAGCATGCTCGATCAATACATTTTCCATATAACAGATGAGGCACACACACATAACACGTATTTCATATAAAAATAATCAGATCTGTAAGATAGAAGAAAGTGAATATACGTTCACACACATAACAACAAAATATACACATAACACGTATCTCGTATAAAATACTTCATAATTATGCGTTAGAAGAAAGTAACAACACATTCACACATATAAACAACAATATACTTAATACACTCAAATCATACTTGTATTATTATCGTGTTTATGAAAGGTAGTATACACTCACTTGTTCAGAAGATGATCGGATAGTACTACGACTTGCAAAAGTAGTAATCCTCATCAGATCTGGAAGATCTCTACAAAAATCGAACTTCTCGCGGGCAGAGCTTCTGCTCGGGAACCGCACTTCTCGGGATCTTCGGGATCTCGGGACTTGCTTCGGTACTCGGGAATATTACCGGGGCTTCGAGGTGACTTCGGGGGTTAAAA